CGTCAGAGAGGCGTCAGAGAGGCGTCAGAGAGGCGTCAGAGAGGCGTGAGAGAGGCGTGAGAGAGGCGTGAGAGAGGCGTCAGAGAGGCGTGAGAGAGGCGTGAGAGAGGCGTGAGAGAGGCGTGAGAGAGGCGTCAGAGAGGCGTCAGAGAGGCGTCAGAGAGGCGTCAGAGAGGCGTCAGAGAGGCGTTTTCTCACAAAACAATTTAATCATCGTACACCAACGTTTTATTCGTTAACTCTTTCAGGGTGTTTTTTTATCTCCTGTCTCTTTGGTCTTGATTTCCTCTTCAAAATAAAAGTCCTGCTCCTCTATGGAAACAGAACCATCATGACTAGAAGTAGAGAGAACTAGAACATGTCTTTAGTGCAGAATAACTCATCATGATGACGATGATAATGAGAGTTTTTACAGCTTCTAGTTGAAATAAACTGAGTAGTTTTGGAGATTGTTTTGGTGTTTTTCTGGTTCTTGATGTTAAAGGATCAGGTACTTCCCAGAACAACTCGGTACCTCAGTCTGGAGCTCTGCTGCTCTCGGACCTGCAGGAGTCTCTCCTCAAACTCTGCCTCCTTCCTCCTCAGCTCCTCCCTCAGCAGCTCCGACGCTCCCTCCATCTCCTCCATGTGGCTCCTCTGGAGCTCCATCACGTTCTCTCTGGTTCACAGAGAGAGAGAGAGAGAGATGGTTACCTTTAGTGACTTTAACTTACTACAGATATGGACAACGTAAACGTACAAAATATCGTTAGCACACCAACAGCAGCTGCTCAGAGCTAACGTGCTGTGTCCTCTGAAGGAGTTCAAACTGACACAGAGACTCTGTCAAAGTCCTGGAAATATGGAGTGAGATTAGTAACTGTAATGTAAATACTTTAAACAGTAATCCCATGTGATTTTCAGTGGATAAATGTGACTTTAAAACCAGCTGGAGTTCTGCTCTGGTGGTTTAGGAGGACACGGTTACAGACCCTGGTGGTTTAGGAGGACTCAGATATAGACCCTGGTAGTTTAGGAGGACACGGTTACAGACCCTGGTGGTTTAGGAGGACTCACAGGTTTCGGACCTCGGCCCTGGCCTCCTCCAGCAGACTGTGTCCAAACCGAGGCAGGAGGCCCGTCGGGGGTCTGGCTCCTCCCTCTGAACTACGAGTACCTGAAGGAGACAAACATCAGAGGACTTTAATAAATCCACCTCCAGATATTCAGGTGGTCTCCTCTACCTGAGGCCTACCTTTGAGCCTCCCTTGAGGAGGAGAGGAGGAGTTGTCTCTCAGCTTCTTTAACCCAGAGTTGACCCGTGACGGGACGCGGTCGTATGGAGACGACCTCCTGCTCTGGGAGGTGAGGAGCTGCTGCTTGGCCAAAAGGAGGCGCCGCTTCAGCCCCTCGTTCTCCGCCTGCAGGCCACGGACTTTCTCCTGGAGCTCCTCCATCATCTCCTCCATCTCCACGTCACGAAGCCTGGAGACTCCTCCTCCCACCGCCAGCTGCTCCATACGACCACGGTCCTTCACCAGCCTCATCAGCTTAGTGCCCAGTCTGAGGTGGAGGAGGAAGAAGAAGAGGAGGAAGATCAGAGGTGAGTGTTATAAAGAGAAGTTAAGATGTTCCTGTCTGGAGGTCTTTGAGTTCATTTCATTATGCGACCTGTGAAAATAGCTGTCTGTCCTCTGAGGCTATGGAGCGAGGGTGTGTGTGTGTGTCTCACTTCCTGATCTTGTCCTCCTGCTTGTTAACATGCTGTTTGAGGACCAGTGTCTCCTCGTTGAGCCTCAGGAATCGGTCCTCCAGCTCCTTTCTGGACACACGAGAGACGTCCTGTCTCGCTCGAGCATTTTGGAACGTGGATGAGTCTTCAAGCACAAAACTTTATTTAAAACACACAATGAGACGACGTAAACAGCAAAGACAGAAGGTTGTAGGAGCATAGAGAAGAAGAATGTGTGATCTTTCTCAGAGAGACAACACGGAGACTAGGGCTGCAACTAATGATTATTTTAATAATCGATTAATCTGGCAATTATTTTTTCGATGAATCGGATATTATTGGGCCAAAAAAGGCGAGTGAATAAAAACGTGTCTTTAGTCTTGCAAACTATACCACCCTTGCTTTACTACTGTTATTAACGAGCTAACACTAACTTGTCATGCTTGTCAAGCTGGATAACGAGTAAACACCAGCACCAGAAGAGCTACTGGAGGGACGTTACGTTCCTCACTTCAAAACGGAACACAAGTAGGATTCTGTAGTGACTAACCCTGCTGTTCAACATCCTTCCTCCTCATCAAGGACTCCAACATGTTTACGTTGTTGAATCAGGAAATAAATCCTGTAGCCGTCTGTGTTCACCCAGAGCTCTACGATACCTCATATCAACAGAGACCGGACCAAACTATGTGTATAAATGTGTGTGTGTGTGTGTGTGTGTGTGTAAACCATACGGTACAAACAATGAATAGACGATGCCATATTTACGTCTACATGACGTTATTCTGAGTGTTGGTGGAGCTGCTACAATGTTAGCATAGCCTAGCACCGATCCATCTGAGCTCCATTGAGAAGACAAGTAGCCTACAAATCGGCATCATTACGTAGTTATTTCGGAGTCTCTTTTTGTCGGTTTATTGCCGTTAAATCACAGCCAGATCAGTTTATTTAGTGTTGGTACAGCTGTAGTAAACAGCGACGTGTGGCTCGCTAGACACAGTGAATACAGCTCGATAAAATCCACGGAGCTCCTCTGAACAATGTTATGAACCAGACATGACGCGTTTAGTTTCCCGGGATATCTGTGACTTCCACAACACGTACTAAGCAGAAATACAGCTTATTTTGTCATGGTTAATGGCGGACAGTTGAACGGCTTTCAGGGCGATAAGCCCCGCCCCCTCTCCGGCGCGTGCAGCGCGAATGAACACAAATAGTCCCCGCGAGACTCAACTTTTTTTTTTTATACTCAAACATCTCCGCGACTTATTGAGTGGCGTAATAATCGCGCGACACAACGAATCGATAATGAAATTCGTTGCCAACTCTTTTAATAATCGATTTTTATCGATTCGTTTTGCAGCCCGAATGGAGACACATAGAGACAACATACAGACAACATGGAGACACATAGAGACAACATACAGACAACATGGAGACACATAGAGACAATATGGAGACAACATAGAGACACATAGAGATAACATGGAGACAACATGGAGACACATAGAGATAACATGGAGACACATGGAGACAACATAGAGACACATAGAGATAACATAGAGACAATATGGAGACACATAGAGATAACATAGAGACACATAGAGATAACAGAGAGACACATAGAGATAACAGAGAGACACATAGAGATAACAGAGAGACACATAGAGATAACATAGAGACAATATGGAG